TCATAGGTTCTACAAAATTCTAACTAAGATTTATGATAGAGATTTAGCAAAAGTGATTAAGAGTAGGATTGGAATTGGTGATTTATAAAAGGTTGGAATTATTTTCAATTTCAATAAAAAATTGAAATAATATCTAATATTTATAATATTGAATGCAGATTAAATTCGATATTTACTCTTTTTTTTTTCTTTTTTAACATCACTTGCATGAACTCGAGTTAATTTTAATTAAGTATTTGACCATAAAGATCTTCCTATAGATGCATGCATGTAATATCATGCGTTACTTTTGAATTAAATGAGCCTATAAAAATTACACTAAATCATGTTGTAAGATTGTATTGTCAATAAATAATTTTTCATAAAAATACATCTACTTACAAGCATGGGCATTTTCAATCAAGAGTTGAGATTATTGATCAATTAATTCCGATGCAAATTATAAATTACTACTATATGCTAAATTGTTTTTACTTTTTTTTTTTTAATCTTAGGTTGCACCAAATATGAAGTAATTTTTTTTTATTTCTTAACTTATTTCACTTATATATGATACAACTCGATCTAATTTAGAATATCTTAATTTTATAAAAAAAAAAATTACCACTAAATTATTTAAATTGTAATATTTTCCTAAGTCATATATGAGAAAAACAACTATTTTTTGTTATTTTACTTACACCATAATTTCTGACTTTTTTATACAAACTTTATTATTATTATTATTATTATTATTATTTATAAGAACCCTACTTGCTAACATTGTATAATTCAAACTAAAGACTGCCATTGCATTTAATTTCAAGTCTAAATTCCAAAATCAAAGTTTAGCAACATAAAGACTTCATATGCTATGGAACTCCTAACCTTAGAAAATAGAGATCTACCCCGAAGGTATCTAATTCTTTAGAAGTTACGACTTCTAAAAAACCAAAAGACCAGGCAAAATATAATAATAATAAAAAACTCTTTATAAAGTTAAATTTTGTGCCCATAATAATCATAAATAAATAAATAACATAAAAAAGTTGCATTTGGCTTTGGCTTCCAACTTTCACAGAAAAACAAAGGCCCTCTTTAGAACTTAGGCCAATCAAGCAGTTGGCAATTACACACGTAAAGTAGAAACTTGAACCAAACTTCGACTCTAAGATCAAAGTCTAACATAATTGGGCATCAACAAAATGTACAATTTCTGAAAAAAAAAAAAAAACAAAATGTATCAATTTTTTTTTTATCAAATTGAAATTAATTATATATATTAATTGAGTGAATAAGAAAAAATGAAATTTGTGAGACTCGAACACAACATCAACTGAAAATAAATAACTCTAACACAGGATCTATGCTACTGAATCAAAACAAATGGTTCAAATGTACTGTTTTTTTTAACTTAAGAAAATTTTGAATAAAAAAATTAATAATGTACAAGTGTAAAGTATAAGATTTTAAGTCGTGAGCCACCTTCCTTCCTGCCAGAGTGGGGATGTCAATTTCTCCTTATTCTCATGGAGTGCCTTGCCAATTTATTCACTACAAGGCTGGGGTGGGCCAGGGGGTAGAGTAGGTATAGGTAGCATTTTCTCCCCTTAAAATTCTGAGGAGTTTTCCCTACCTGTGAACCCCCGCAAGATCTTCAATCTGTGTAAAAATATTAAAAAATAAAGAAAAATTATTAAATTTAACTTAATTTAAGTATTTAATTTATAATTATAATAGTACTTGAGCCTTATAACCTTACGGTTTAACAATTATAAGTCGGTTTGTAAGGTGCATTTCTTAATTTGAAGACTGGGGTTCAATTTCCTCACCCCAAAATTGTAACTTTATTCAAAATTTTTTTTTTTTTTATAGTTATAATCATGCTT